TGAACATTGGGAAAACAAAATCATGTTAATATTTACTCATTTAGGCTATTACTTTTTCCTTAAGATATCTATTTAACTTTTTCTAACTTAAGACTCACGTCATGAAGTCACAAAATAGTGACAAATTGTTCCCTTAAAGTTTAGGTTCCCACATAAATCAAAGAAAGCTTCACATGAACATATAAGAATTTATTTCTTAATGAAGAATAGTTGTTGATCAGTGGCAATACTAAGGATCCATGAGGCCTGCACATTTATATATGCAGTTCATTAAAAAAAAAAATCATCCTGAAAATATAAGCATTTGATTAATGCAACAAGCATTAGAATGCTGCAAGCTTCAGGAGAAATAACTATTCTGGCAATGATTCATATGTATCTCAAAAAGGTACACATTTTGATACATTTACATGTGCCAAAATGATATTTTTAGTCACTTTATATGTTCAAAAGTGAACGTATAATCTTGTAAATAGTATAAGTAATGAGTTAAAAATAAGTGACTAGCAATTTTATATTCAGAGCATTCCCATTGTGATGTCACATGCAGCTAATAAAGAATCCTCTCTTTAAATAGTTATAACATCTTAAAAAAGGCTTCCAGGTGTATTTGTCACTGTGATCATAAAATTACTTGGCTATTTATGAATACCACTGAAGTTTGCAGACTGATTTCCAGGAAATGGATGAAATGGACCCCCTAATTTTATCAAGCACCATTAGTGTTCAGGGGACTCCTTAAAGGACTCTCAGTCTCAGTGGAGGACTCTTGAAATCAGTTTTCTCGAGTGTCAGGACAGCCAGCTGTTCTTTTCATAATCATAGAAATGGAAAGAATGTATTTTTAAAATTGTTGGTGTTTCTGTAAAACAACGTTTTCAAAATTATATTTTGCAAATAATCTTAATTCAAATTTGGAACAAAATGGTTTGTTCACTCGTGGAAGAGAAAAGCGCTACTTTCTATGGGTTTTTGGGTTTGGGGGGGCTTGTTTAAAAGCAAGAAGTAGGAAGCAGGGAAAAGCGAGGCTTGCAGAAACTATTTGCCTTCCTTTTTCCTTGTGTATCTTACATCTCTGCAGCCTCAGTCTGCCACACCTCTTCTGCTACAGGCAGCATGATTGATGTCGCAATTATTTTAGTCTATTGAAATCTACAAAAAGGTGACCAAATTAATGTGTAGGTTTTCCACTGGTTTTATGTTTGCAAAACCCTTTTTAAAAAACAGGATTTCTATGCTGACTGAAAAAAAGCCACAGCAATGTACGTTAGCAAGGCCATCATATATAAAACTTAAATACTTTGAAGTATTTCTTGACCCCCAGCTGTAAAGGTGCCAGTAAAAGGGAAATGAGTACCTGCTTTTCATGTGCAATCTCTAGTTGACAGCCTATTTTTTAATCTCATTTTGAATACCAATTCCAAAGTGGTGGAGGTTCATATTAGCCATTTTACTAAGTAGCATGCATTGGATCCACTGCTTAAATAGACAAGAAACAAATAAATTATTCACATCTGAACAGGGAAATTTTCTATTTCCTTCTCTTTTAAGAAATACCTTCTGCTACCTAACAGAGCAAAATTAACATAGATAAATCATGTCCCATGTGAATATGAGGGATATACAAGAGGTAAACCTGAAATATTTCTTAAAACCGCAAATTAAACCTTTTGGTTCATATTTTTAAAATTATTTTCCTCTAATACAATCTAGGTCAGCTTGTAAACAGGAAATACTGAATGAAAAATAAATGTTTCTGCATTTCTAATGAGAAATATGTTAATACCTTCAAAGGAACATATTGAAGAGATTTGAAAAGTTGGCTTTTTTAGCAATAACTCTTTAATGAATTCAGCTCAAAGTCACATAGCTTTGATCCTCTGAAATTTATCTTTTTTCACAAATTAACCATTGATAATTAAGAAGAGAAAAAGACTTTCTCAGCTCTGGATAAATCATCTGTCTGCATCACCTACAGTTAATTGACAGACTATGTTATTTGAAAACCTCATTTTAAAAGCTTCTTTGTCTTTCCTTCAGTGTTGTAGTTTCTGTATAATAATAGCAGTAGTTACCTTCTCCATCACAGCCATTTATTGTTTGGGAAATAAAAAATAAATTGTATGAATAGTATTCATAGATGCAAATGACATTGTGACAGGTCATCAGTAGATCTGAAAGGAAAGCAGATTCTTGATAAGCTATTGTAGTAATTCATTTTTCCTTGGAGGAATGAGGATTACAATGTGGAGTGTTACAATAAGTTTATAGTAGAGATTAAAGCTTTCAGAAATACGACAAGAACTATTATAAACCAACTGCATATCAAACCTAATTTATTTCAAGACATTAAGGATATAATCTTTCTGTGTGTATAGACTTTGCATTTCCAGTAGCATCCTGCAGATTGTGCAGCTAAGTAATTTTTCAGATGTAGATCATCCCAAGAATAATATTAAGAAAAGTAAGTTAGTAACTGTCAAACAGATTTAGTCATTCACTTTTACTTGTTGATGGGTGGCTAATAATCAGCCCTTCATTAACATTTCTACCACATTATTTGATTTCAGGAAACTGCGAAAAAGATCTGTGGTCTCAAAAAGAATTTTCTTCTCCATAATGCGTAGAAGGCTGCTATTAACGTCTCAAGTTCAGAAATTAACTGCCCAAATGTCTTTTATTTTAGACTTCCAGACAAACTGGAAATCATTTAATGTTCATGAAAAACAGTGATGACACCAGAAAAAACAACTTCAAGCTACAAGCTCTCATATGTTTCAGGAGAAAGAAGAAAGTTTATTCCTCAAACAAAATCATAGTTTCTTGAAACATATTCCTAAATAGATTTTTATTGTCCACCTGTTGAAAAATTTCAGTCAGGTCTGAGAGTGGTTTTGATGTTAGGAAACCAGAAATATTTGTGACTTTGCTGATACCTATAAATTCAATGCAATAAATGTAGTTAAGAGCACTTTTGTCTTCATGATTATGAAATGGCAGCTGAAAGCACTAGGAAATATTAATATTCCTGGAAAGAAGGTTATAAATTGCAAAAAATATGCTGCTGAAAAATATGGAGTGGCAGCATATAATCATTTAGTATTTATACATATCAGTTTCATTTTAAGTTCAAGGTAAAACCTTTTTAAGGCAACAGCACTTTCAAAAATCTGATTTCTAAATTTTATAGTTTATATTGTTTCTAAAGGGTTTGGAACCTCTTTTTCTGCTATCTTATAGCCATCAGAAGTTCACAAACCACCACCTGAAAAACAGTGATGTACATGATTAAATAATTCATGATACTTAGATTCTTCCTGGTACAAAGAACTGCAAAACCTTCTATTAACTTCTCCCTATAGAGTGTCAAAAAAGAAAAAAAAGAAAGAAAAAAAAAAAAACAGAAAATGGCTTAGCACTAACAGAAATACAGATATTTTTCTACTGCTCCTATCTGTATGCATCACATGCTTTTTTTATATAGGTAGCTGTTTTACTCTATCTGGACACCTGCTTTTAATAGTTCCATTTGTGTTACCAAATAACTGCTTTCCTTTTTTGTTCTCTTGGACTGTTTAGGTACAGATACATTTTCTTTCCTTCCACTCCTGAGTTTCAGTGACATGTAACAAACAGAAATATTTTACAGACATCATCTCAGCGCCTTACTGTGTGTGCAAATGTAGCATTTTGGTTTCAAAACTATAATCCATCACTATTCTGTACATTTAAAATATTCAGTTGTTGAATACACTAAAATTCTCTTGTTCCGTTGCTTGACAGACCTTTCATTTGGCTTTTCTGTAGCAAATTCTTTGTCAATCTACTCTTTCCTTTATATATCTAGTACCTCATTATATTTTTGGATGGATGTTACCTAACATTCAAAATACATTTTGTTGAAGAGGGAAATACAGTATTTGCTTCAAGCTACTCATTCTAGATATTTCTGTCATTAATACATTTCATCTTACAAAAAGGCTTTGTTCAGGTAAAGCGGAACTGTGTTCTGTCGTTATATTTTTGGGATATAAATGGATTAAATGATTTGTCACCCTCTTAATGGACCTATACAGTAAGTCTACAGCTGAACACAACTGGAATCCAAATTTTTGTTTCTTAGTTCAATACGACTTTCATCCAATCATCTTTCCTAGTCAGTCTGTGAGCTAGACTTCTATGAAATCTTTGCATTAGTACTTCCCTTTTAAGAGAAACCAGCACAGTACTGTGGGATCCTATATTTAAGATAGTATTATAGTTCGCATTAAGGGTGATGGAGGATCTCAGGTACACAGTAGAGAGAAATGTAAAGACTGACAGTAGAGGAACAGTAGTTGTTTTGAGGACAGATACCAAGACCCAATGATATGTGTCATAACACTATTATAACAGGGTTAAAGAGGTGAACAAGTATTTTGCAGAACAGAAAAAGCATGCAAAACCCCCATGATAATAGAGACATAACAGAACCTCTTTTCTTCTCTTCCTCATACATAATGCTGCTACACCTACTCCAAAATATAAATGAACCAGTGAAGGCAGAGTATTTCTAATCAGTTTTACATCATTGCTTAAAACATTTAAGTGTTTTGTTTTCCTGTTATTTAGTTGACATTTCTTACCAGACACTAAGCAGACTTTAGTTATTAACTTGTCTCTACAGAAACACTCATGGAAACGTGTGGATTCTTAAGTACCTATATTTTAGTATTAATATAGTTAAGTAAATTAGGTGCTAATGCTGGAAAGCATCACTAAGCAGGCGATCTTATATCAGTGTATGCCTAAATGTTGTCTTAAATAGGAATAGATTTAAACAGGTACTTAAATTTTTCTTTCTACAGATCATAAAGTGTAGTGCAAGAATCACACACATTTTTACTTCTATACCTCTCAAAATGCATTCATTTCTACATGCAGTGTGGGTTTTGGGGCTGGGTGGGTTTTGGTGCCTTGATTCAGTGCTTTTTTTTTTAGTGATTGCTTTTGTGTTTCAGACTTGAATCTCCTACTAGATCTTTGGTGATGGAAGCACCCAGGGGAGTGCAGGTCAATGCAGCTGCAGGAGACTTAAAGGCTACCTGTAGGAAAGAACTTCACTTACAGTCTACAGAAGGGGAGGTAAGTTCTGCCAGTGTTCTGTAGCTCTGCCAGGCGTAATGCAAGAAATGTGAGGACAATTTGTTCAGTAGCAAGGTAAACATCACAAGAAGAGTTCTCCATTTGCCTATGTTAAAGTAATATTGGTATAGCTTGCTCAATTATTAATTCTCATTTGCTTTTTGCAAATATTTGAATTACTAAGTTTTATTCACACTGAAAATGTTAGATGAAAATAGTGATGGTGGTAAAAAATTATTATGAATCTAACAAACTGAGAGACTTTTGGACTAATTTGGGTGAATACTTCATTAAACCATGAAGAGGTTTAATGAATTAAGGCCCAGTTAGAATTCAACTTGGTTAGGGATGTGAAAGATAACAGGAAGTGATTCTATAGGTACATTGCAAATAAAAGTTAGACTAGGAACAATGTGGGCCCTCTCTGGAAGCTGTCAGGAGAGCTGGCTACCCTGGATTTGGAGAAGCCTGAGGTACTTAATGACTTCTTTGCCTCAGCAAATGCTCTGACCACACCACCCAAGTCTTGGAAGGCAGACAGAGGGACTGTGAGAATGGAGACCTTAGGCCCACTGTAAGAGAGGATCTGGTTCGAGACCATCTTAAGAACCCGAACGTGCGATGATCAGGGGACAGGAGCACCTCCCGAATGAAGACAGGCTGAGAAACTTGCTGCTGTTCAGCCTGGAGAAGAGAAGGCTGCACAGAGACCTCATAGCAACCTTCCAGTATCTGAAGGGGGCCTATAGGGATGCTGGGGAGGGGCTCTTCATTAGGGACTGTAGGGATAGGACAAGGGGTAACGGGTTAAAACTTAAACAGGGGAATTTTAGATTGGATGTAAGGAAGAAGTTCTTTACTGTAAGGGTGGTGAGGCACTGGAATGGGTTGCCCAAGGAAGTTGTGAATGCTCCATCCCTGGCAGTGTTCAAGGCCGGGTTGGACAGAGCCTTGGGTGATATGACTTAGTGTAAGGTGTCCCTGTCCATGGCAGGGGGGTTGGAACTAGATGATCTTAAGGTCCTTTCCAACCCTAACTATTCTATGATTTGCTCTACATGTGTTCTGTTTCCTGAAACTGTTTACCATCTCTGTAAGAGAAACAGTTCTTCAATGATATGTTCTGTGTACTGTTTTGTCAGTGTCTTGTGTTAGTGGTCAGCTTGACATCAAAAGATTTTGTATAGATTCTGTATGTGTACACCTGTGCAAACTTATTAAAATAATTTTTAATTGGGTCACTGGTTTGGTTGGCAGTCCATGTATTGCAAAAACACATGAAAGATTTCTGATATGAGAGTCTTTCAGTCTTCAGTCCTTAAAATGACATAACATGAAAAAAAAAAGTCATGCAAAGGTATTAAAGGCTCTCAGATTTCTACTAGACTCTTTGGAGAAATGGATATATTTTCAAACTGTTGTAGGATTTGCCAGTTTACAGCATTTTTGGTAAAATTATTTTTATTTTAAATATCGAATTGGGAATAGAGCTCTTCAGAAATTTTTTGCATTTTCTGTTTGTAATTTTTAGTTTCTACCAAATGTTCCCAAATACTTTACAAGCTATTCAAATAAGCACAACAAACAAAACCCTCACTGCCATCTTCATCAGATAATCCCCTGCAGTACACACTCTTTGCATTACAATGCTGATGGAAACATTTTTGGCCAATACACTGAATCAAAGGCCTATTTTGCTAACATTTTTCTATTGATGTAAGTATGAATCCCGCATAATTAAAGCAGAATATTTTCCTAATTCAGAGCCTCTAATATTTATATACCACATGCCCCATCTTGTTTCTGAGTTTCTCCAAAAGCCAGCAGCTCTTCTCTCAATCTCTCCTGTTTAATTACCACCTCTCTAAATATGAAGTCTTTGTTACTGTTGCCTAAAGTTGCCAAGGTAACAATAAGGACAATATAATCCTCTTTGAATAGTAAATACTATCCTCTCTCACCCTTGTCCTTTCTGTGGGCATATTTATTGCAGGGACTACAGCTTGTTGTAACCTTTCCTGCTTCACATCCATAAATTCCTACCTGGCCCAGTCTACTATGTTTCCTGCATTTATTAACATAAATTTTCCACCTGCTATATATTTCTTTATTCTTTCCCTTCATGATATTGCTAGAGTCAAGTAATATTCAAATGAAAAAATTTAAAAGAAGAAAACGAAACCAACAGGAAGACTGCTACCTTTTCTCAATGCCCTCCCTAAAGCAACATTGCATCTATGTCTTGGTTAAGTGTCATCCATCTCTGTGGTGCTTTGTACAAATATTTAATCTGCAGATTCATCGGGCTTTTTTTGTTTATATCAACACTGTGAGTTTATTGCATGACTTCTAATTTTCTTAAGTAATTACTACAACTTATTTAAAAGATAGTTTTGGAAATAATATGCTGTAACCTCACTTGAACTTTGAAAACGGGAACCCAAGAGAAGTTATAATGACTACATATGTATTATTCAGAATTGAAAATCAGTTCAGTATTAAATGCTTTGTAGGAAAAAAATTGCCAGTGTGAAGCAGACTTTCCTGAAGTTCATATTAAAAATCACTATATTCCCATATGTGGCAAGTAAGACTTTGCACATATGTGATTTTGCACATTATACGTTAGATTGGTAGGTATCAGAAAACAAGCTACCGACCTTTCCCCACTCTTCCCAAAGGGCTGTTCTGTAAACATACATTCAACAATGTTCGAAGTGTCTAATTTACTCTTGGATACTTGCAATTCCAGGAAGATCTGTAAAGAGCTGTACTCTAAATCCACTGAAAAATTCCATCCTGAGATTAGACCAATGCATTTATAGCCCACTGTTTTATTTCTTACACTGAAGAGAGTCAGAGGAAAATGCAGAAACCCTGTGGAAGGCATATGATGAGCTTCCACAACATTACAGGTAGTGCAAAGCTACTGTGGCCACATTAGGGACTTCCAGGGCTAATTACAGCTTGGTGTGAGTAATGGGGGTAAACATCTGATGGATTAAATGTCTACATAACAAAATATCGATTGGTGTCCTTGCTTACAGTGCTAAAGATACACCACAAATTAGCAGACAGTGTAGAAAAAAGTGTAAAGTGTTTATCATTTTTAAGAAAGCACCTTCCAAACCAAAACAAAGTATCTAGGTCAGAACTAATCCTCATTTGGACCTAAAAATGTATGCTTTATCAGTCAGGTTTCTTGCAAGAATAAAGAATATTTGTTTTGTGAATTGGATCTATGAACTTTTTTTTGTCCTAGAAAAATACAGGGTTTTTTATATTATTCTCACACTGGTTGTAGTTAACTAAATTTAACTTTTCAATGTTTCTAATTTTATTCAAAAAAATCACAAATATGAGAATTACTATATAATATAATTATTGATCCCTTGTGACAGGAAATAGCTATGTATCACTTGCAATCAGCTATAACCATGTAGCAGAACATTATGAATTTACTGTGCATTAATATATGAAACATGAATTTTCCTTTTATTTTAGAATAATTTCAGAATACAAAGAAAATAAATGTGTTTATGAAATACTTTTCCTCTAGCCTTATTTCTCATGCAGTATAATCTCTAGCCTCCCACATCATAAACTAAATGCTTCTGCAAGCATTCTGAATTCTGCTGTTTTATACATTTTATTTACTACAGTATTATAATAATCCTTTTACCCCTATTACACATTATAATGTATGATCCCAGACCGAATACTGGGGGCTGTAATTTACTTAGATTCTGATGCCCTTTATAAAGCTCTTGAACTGTACTCTTGTGAGTCGAAGCATCAGCAGAATCCTTTGATTCAATTATAGCTTGGTATTTAATTGTGAACTATGTATTATTCTATAAATAAACCATAACCAATGGTTTAAAGCAGCAATCATTTACAAAGAAAATGAAATGTGAAGCTTCAGGCAGTAGCTTAATTTATTGGTCACGTAACAAGAAAAAGAACATTTCTTCTCTGGAAATTCAGCACAATGACTACTATTTGACAGCTGCTTCTTTCACATGTGAACATAATTCAGATGTACAGATCAATTTCAAATTCTGTAGGTACTAAATTTTGTTAGGCATAAAAACATGTTAGGATTTAACCTGAAACATTATATAACAAGCTTAAAGGATTTGCTTAGTTGATATTGTCCACTCATTCACCTAACAACTAATTTTAATGGTTTTGACAATACATCACTCTCTTAAGAAGAAGACTGCTAACTAGCCTCAGATCTTACAAGTCTTGTGCAGCTGCTATGTATTTTTGCAAGCAGCTTCTATGGAAGCTGGAGTCTACACTTGCATTGCATCCTGTTGACTATCAAAGTCCAAGTAAATCAAAAGGGGAAAAGTACACAGAAGCTTCTAATTTTTACAACTATATTCGTATTAGTCACCCTGTCTGACCTTTTTCCTATTTATGTCTTTATCCCCTTGTATTTCCTTGTCAAATTACATGCCTTCATAACACTGTTTGTAGACTGTATTTGGTTGTTTCCTGCATAATGAGCCTGATCTCTTGGTAAGGCCTATAGCTGTCACATTAAAAATGAGCAATAATCTTTAACAGACATTTTATTTAAAATCAGTGTAGCAGACAAGAAGCCTAGTTTATATTTACCATTTTAGCACAACACAGTTTATGAAGTGTGTACCCAAGATTATTTTGTAGAGGCAAACAAATGCATATAGTGCTAACATTTGTTCTATAATCCTATCTGGTCCTCCTTCTAAGTCCAGGAGGTGTCTTTAGCACAAAGATTAATACTTAATAAAACTGGAGTAATCTTCACTTGTAAGCCCAACCAGCAGCTCCTTTTTAGCTTTGGTTTTGGTGGGTTTTATGCTCTGAAATAGAAAAAAGAAAAAATAAAAAGAGGAATTTTTTAATTAGCTGAATAAACTGAAATGGAATTACCTTGTTCTGCAAGCTGCTTGCCATCACTATGGAGGAACGGCTGATCAAAGGCAACATTTGGTAGATTAGTTCAA